TATTTTATTTTTCTTTTGCATTTGCTTTTAGGATTCTCACTTCGGAAATAAAAGGTATGAACTTATTTTTATTTTTCGAAATGATTTTATTTTGGTATTACTTAGATAATTTAAATTATAATTCTTAAATTGTTTATAATTTTTCAGATTTAGTAGTATTTATAAAATTATTAAAAAAAAGACGAATGAACATATTCAACTACGTTAAAAAATCAACAGCTCAAATATACTTTGTAAATATATCTTAGCTTTGAATCTATTTAATATACTAATCTTGAAACAGCGTCAACTCGAGTTATAAATCTTTATCTCGAGTCGGAATTTATTTCGCATTAACTCAAGAGGAACCAGTGCGATTTCAAGTTCAAGTTGGGCTAAGGTCTTTGCTTTTGGTCGTATCTAAACAATGGGAAGGTATAAAAAAAGTCGTTAGTCTAAATCATTGATTCAGGTATTTTAAGTATTTCATTTTTAACAAATCTTGAAAACTTTAATTACTTGACATTCATTTCTTATTATAATTAGACTAGATCCATAAGAACCTCCAAGAGCTGAATGTGTAAAGATCTAGAGTAAAATATTAGATTACTCGTGAGTACATAGAACTCGGGTACCAGCAACTGTTGGAGGTAATCTAAGGAACAAAAGTCCTGAATTTGTGGGAGTAGCACCTGATGTTATTTTGGAGCTTATAAAGAACTTCCTTATGAAGACATATCATACGAAAGAAAAGCTAAGCTATTTAATAGTCTGCCGATGATGAAATAGATGTCGTAATATGTATTTCGAATTTATTGCTTTTATTTATTTATCATTTTTTTTTTAAAAAAAACAAATTTTACTATAAATTTACAGGGAAGGTACGATCGCAATAAATCTTTTAGTAACGTCAATCAATGATTTGCAAAATATAAAGGAAAAAATTATACTTGTTAACAATAGGAAATATGGTCATAGAAACGGTTTATTTACTACTTCTATGCCAGCTTTCTAAAATGTTATTGGAGTTTGTTAAATAAATTTATAATTTATAAAGCCTTTGATCCAAAGAAACCAAAATTTATAGTAACTATACTGGGCGTTTATTTAATTGCAAATTCCATCAAAATAATTAAAAATAAATATAAACTAATCAAAATTTTTATCACATCACACACATCACACAGATCATATAATCAGCAATTCCTTTCAACAAACGCAAAAATTAAATTACTTTCAAAAGAATTACAAAGAATTTAATTATTCATCAATTATCCAAGTAATAATGAAATGTTCAACGTAAGTTAATTTATCATATAATGCTTTATGCAATTGTTTATTTAAATATCTCATTTAAAATAATCTTGTTTCTAGTTTGCTAAAATGAAGCTTCTCGGGAATTTGATATCATTAATAGAATCCTCTAAAGCGCTTTTTATTGCAAAAAAAGGCAATTTGGAATTAGATTTCTCAATAGGTATGAATACATGGAACCTCATCTACGTTTACCTCTTATTTTCGTAAGAGAGGTAATTTGAATACAATTTATTTGTTTATTAAATGTTGTTGCATTCAGTTCGGGACGTTTATTAGTTATAAACAAAAGAAAGGGGAAGCAGAAGGTTTATTTATTTAAATATATTTATTAATAACAACTGAAATTAACATAAAACTACATATATAAGGTATCATCTCAATCGTCGGCGTTATATACGATCAATCAAGTTTTTATTTAATATATTTTGTTATCGTTAGAATAAAAAGGGAAGGGGTAAATGCTAATCTAATACTATATATTTATTATCTAGGAACATTATATTCTACTCAAGCGAAATCCCACTTTTTTTATACTTTAAACTCAACAAGGACTAATTGTCCAGGAGACCTTTTGTCCACGAGAAATAATGGCCTGATGGCGTATTTGCCAGGAGGTAATTCAATTTACGATTGGCCTACGATCTTCAAAAAGACAAACTATAACTAAAAATTAACTAGACAAAATTGGACACAATGCTTAGAACATGAAAAATATCTGTAACAATTCGATTGCGATGTAACGAAAATTGGGTTAATGTCAATCAATTTGAAATAATAAAATAGAGTTTTACAATGGAAGAAAAAGAAATAAGCTTATTAAATAAATGATAAGTAAATACAATAAAATTAACTATTTTTGCCTCAACAGGTGCTATGTAATAGGCCTTCAAAAAATAATGTTTCTAGATCTATCCTATCAAAAGCTAAAGACGAAACGATGCATTTTTATAATAAATTTCCTTCCCACGGCTTTGTTACGGAATTCCTTAAAAATATCAATTTAATTACGACTGAATTACCGATTTATAAGTTAATTGATGTAAAAAAAAAAAAAAATATGACATGTATTTTTTATGAGTAAATTGGTACGAATGATCAGAGGCGTCCGAAATGTCAATTCCTTCAGATCCACCGCGATGGTCATTTTTTCGCTGCCAAAGATTGAGAGTAACATTAAATTAGATTTCAAAAACTGATTTATGTATATCGAAATAATAGGAATCTTTATAAGAGTGCTTATTACTTGCATTTGACAATATAAGCCAAATAATTAGAAATCGATCAAAATTCAAAGTATTAAATAAAGTACTGTGATAATATAATATTTTGATAGGTGGTACTTATATATTCATTGTTAATTAAGTCATACTTGTTATTAATTATCCTAAGTATCAATAATTAATTATATATTTACTATAACTTAATCTCAACTAAATATAATATTTAAAAAACAATTAAACTTTTAGGTTGTAAGTTATTTTTATTGATTATTCGTATTTAATTATACTTTTTATTGTAATTTAAAATAAATCATATTTTTATTTTAAAAAACAATTATAATTAATAATTTATAGAAGCTAAGTTATTTTTTATTTAGTATTTTATTATACTTATTACTGTTATTTAATTTCAATTAAAAATCAAAAATAATTCTGAAAAAGATTAGTTATTATTGTAATTTAATTTTTATTGTTTATTATTATTTAATTATACTTTTTAAATTTAAATTAAAATAAATTATTATTTAAAAAAAGAATTAATAATTAATAATATAATAGAAAGTAAGTATTTTTTGATTATTAGTATTTATTAAATTT